AAACTTCTATCAGACTTTTAAGCTCGAAGAGCTCAAAAGCATAAAAAAGCTATCCCTTTAAGCTCAGAGAGCTCCAAGTAACAGACAAATTATATTTTTGAGCTCGGAGAGCTCAAAAACATCATTAGTGCAATTTTAGGCAACTAGGTATGAAATTAGCGGGAAGTTGCACGGATGGCCTTCAGGGTCTACCGTTTTTCTAATTTTTTTAAATCGGTATCGTTCATCGATAAGATTTTTTTTTCTGAAATTTTTTTATAGGATTTTATATGGAATTTCTTGCAATTCCCAAAACTGTCCTTCTTTTGCTGTACGATTATTGGTTGCAGAGATATTCATGGTTAAAGACATAAACGTCCTTTTTTGTCTAATCTCAGATATCTCCGCAACAAATGGTCGTATCAAGCTAAATAAAAAATAAAATTAAAGCTGAATAAAAAGGATATCTGTTTCGTAAGGTTGCTTCGTCTAAAAAAATTTTTCCGAGCCCGTAGAGTGAAAAAAAAATTTAGGAAAACGGTTGACCCTAAAGGCCATCCCTGCAACTTCCCGCTAATTTTATACGTAAGTGCTCAAAATTGGACTTACTACGTTTTTGAGCTCTTAGAGCTCAGAATTATAATTTTTGTGTCATTTTGATAGAAGTCTGGTAGAACTTTGATAATACACCTTTTTTTGCATTTTCAAACTGCAATAACATTCGAATAGGTGGAGCGATTTTTACGAGGTTGGTGGCATTCGACGCAGTTTTTCAGGCCTCATAAAGAATTTTTAATGGTGTGTTTGGACCCGCTGCCCGAGCGCCCCGGGGCGTCGACTATATTTGTTTTTTGACGCGAAAAATTCCAATTAAAAATTCAAATCGGTAAACAAAAGACAAATTGACATGAAACTAAGTGTAAATTTTCCTGTTAGAAAGCCAACAGCTGATGATCAGTAAAGGATAAAAGCATTTGCGTCTATTTGTCACATCATAGTGTATAATATTGATAAAAAACCATGATAATATTTGTTATTATTAAAATATAAGCAAAAAAAAAGATTAATATTTAAAAAAAGTGATATAGTTATTCGTGAAAAGCTATCTAATAGAAAATTAATATCAATATTTAATTGATGCAATTTTGACTTCTTCGTCTGATAGCTCGGACGATGAAATTCATCAGTTGCTGCTGATGTCTGAGAAAAGAGAAACACCAAAAATAAAAAATTACATTGAGAATGTTGTTTATCTATATACAAATGGAGAGGTATAAGTAAAGTTAATAACACGTAGTTTTTACTTCTTTAGAAGTCTTCAACCATCATTTTTTTTCATTAACTAACATTCACTTTAGTCGCTAAACTAATTTTTTTATACTTTAAAGTATTTAGAAAAAATTAGAAAAACGGTTCACTCTAAAGGCCATCCGTGCAATTTCCCGCTAATTCCATTCCTGGGCTCTTAAAAATGTACTTATGACATTTTTGAGATTTTTGAGCTCAAAATATAATTCATGTGATATTTTGAGCTCGCTGAGTTCAAAGAAATAATATTTCTATGCATCTGAGCTCTCCCAGCTCAAAAGTCTGAAAGAAGTTTCATAGAACACTATTTTTGGAATTTTCAAACCGCAATAACTTTTGAATGGATCGACCGATTTTCACGCGGTTGACGCCATTTGACGCAGTTTTATCATACTCATAAGTTATTTTCAGGTTTTAATTGATCGTGAAACGGGATGTTATGTTTCCCTTGGTCGCCCCTTTTACTCTTAAGGGCGCCACTGGATTTTCGTTCTCAGTTTCCAGAAACTGGACCAGAACATAGAGTGCTAGGTCAGGGTCGTGAGAGAATTGCTGAAAGGAGCTAAGATTAAGACACAGAAATTCATTTAACAAAAATTATTTATTTATCCAATCCCTCTTACAACTGACATATGGCCAGTATTACAATATATAAAATTTCATGGATACAAACCACACTCACACTCACTCACATACGGTATATTTCTCGCTGTCCAGCTAGACCCTCACGTGGTTGCAGTCCCCGATGCCTACTGGACTCTCACGATACTCTATCTACTTCGCGTAGTCCCCTGGACCTCTAACGCTACTCTAACTTAGTTCGCGCGGTCTCACGGACTCTCACGCCACTGAGCTGGACCTCTGACGTGACTGCACACGTTGTCCACACAGCGCACGCTGTCCCCCAAACTTCACGCTACTCTAAGAGAACTACCCGAAGTTGGATAGTCTCTTTACTCTCACACAAACACACTCAAAGCCAATTCCTCAATAACAATAATAATACGAGCGCTCGAATTACAAAATAACACAATTTCCAATATTGTTTTTCTAATTAACCATTTCTTAATAACTAATTATCATTTCTTCTAAATACTAATTTACTGCCGTGTTCTTAATATTACGACACTAAATATTTAAAACAAGAGGTCTTAGTATCTTGAATTAATCCTTATTGTTATGTCCGAGAAATTTATTAAATAAATTTTAATTCTTATTTCGTAAACTTAAATGAAATTCTGGCAAATTGAGTAAACCTAAATATTTTACATTCTTTAATTTAATCCAAATTAATTTATTCCGAGTTAATTCATTTTACCCAGTATCGGCGGTAATTTTACTAGACTTATTCTTTGACGTAAAAGTTAAATTTCGACAAGAGATTATCCTGCTGCATTTATTTTGTGTCTCTTAAAACTTAACTTTCAGAATTTACGAAACATTTTATTTTACTCGAGTTTATTTCAATTCTAACCGACAGAGACTTTCGTTGCGACCTTGGATGACCTCTACTTAGCGTTTTCTCGCACGGACAAGATGGCCGACGCTATCGCTCGGTCTAGCGTCTTTGTCGCAAGACACATGTAATTTTTTTTCTGATGAAATTTTTGCACAGCTTTATATTCTCTATTTTCTTGACTAATTAATCTAGATTTACAATTCTATTGTTTTAAACGATTATTTCCTAAATCTACTATAAATTTTAGTTAAGACAATTATTAATTTTGTGTGCCAATTAATTTACTAAAATAGATTTTACTGTCGAATCAATGCCGGTCTTAAATAATCTGAATTTTACGGTTTACTCAATTCTATTCTCTATTGGCTTAAGCCAAATTATTGTCTATCCATTCTCAATTAAATAAATTTTATACATGGCGAAAATCTGGAATTAATAACCCGACTTAATGCCTAGTATTATCAACCCAGACAGGCCTACGTGTAAAATACAGAGACAAGTTAATTTTCCTAAACAAATTAATTAATAACCCTAGTGCTATTAATTATTTGTCTTATAATTTTTCTAATATTAATATTAATCTTAATTAAATAATATAACGACAAGCGATTGTGACCGAACGCGAAATGGCGGTGACCTTCAGCCGACGTGTTGCCTGGCTGACGCCGCCGACCCGAGCAACATAATCAGACATGATAATTGTACCTGGAGTTTTACGTTTTATTATCTTAACACTCGTGCACTCCCTCGACGAGCTGCAACTCCTTTTTACAGGCTGGTGTAAGTTTTTCCTTGGAATGAATCCTCGGCAATTATCTCCTCGGGTTACTGGTTGGCGGCGAAATTTCGGTCATCGTCACTCGTGTTCTGGATATCTCTCTTGAACCTGTAACCGCAAATCGGCGTTAGAATTTATTACAAAATTAAAATTAATTTATGCAAGCTGACAGGCGGCCTAGCAAGCAATAAATCAATTAATTTTTTATCGCTACGTTCCACTTAAGGTGAGCGAAATAAAATAGTTACCTGTGCTCAGTTCTTACTAAAAGTTGCGATGTGTCTAACGAGACTGTTCGGTCACAATGAGTCTTCTCGGTCTTGTCGTTGTAGTTATTTCCTCACTCTGCCTTCCCCACTCTCTCTCTCTCGGCGCCAGCGCTTCCCCCTCGGGGACTTACTTACTACTTCTAAACGAGCTTTAGATCACAGCGCACTGTGAGCAGTCGATAACTAACTAGGTACCGAAATGGGGAATTGACCGAGTAACGATCACTCCGTTACAATCGAACCGAAAATTCCGGAGTAATCCCGAAAAAACAATTTTTTCAGTTTTCTTTCGTTCACGATATCTCTCGAACGAATCGACCGATTTTGACCAGCTTGGTAGCAATCAACGTGGTTTTATAATGTTAAGAGCTGATTAGTTTTTGGAATCGATCGGTAGAGCTGTTTGAAAGTTATTCCAAAAAATGTCGGAGTTGTGTTGAAAAAATCCTTATTTCCAAATATTTCGTCGAGGATATCTCTCGAACCAATCAACCTATTATTACGTTCTTAGCGGCAATCAACGCGGTTTTTTGAGCTCTAAAAATTATTTCGTTTCACCAAAAACGATCCGAAAAGAAATATCGAAGTTATGTGAAAAAAAAACACTTTTTTCGGTTTTCTTTCGTTCACGCTATCTCTCGAACGAATTAACCGATTTCGACCGGATTAGCACCGATCGGCGTGGTTTTTTATGCTTAAGAGCGGATTAGTTTTTGAAGTTGATCGATCGAGCCGTTTAAAAGATATTCCAAAAAAACCACTTTCAAAAATAATTTTTTTCTTATTTTTTTTGAGATTTTTCAAAATTTCTCAAAATCTATCGGTCCGAATCGGTTCAAATTCTCAGAAAATCTAAGTTTGGCGAAACCCTTTTGAATGGCACCAACCGCGATCAAATCGGTTAAACCGTTCAAAAGTTATAAGCGATTCACATACTTACACACACACACACACACACACACACACATATATATATATATATATATATATATGTATATATATGTATATATATATATATATATATATATATATATTGGCATAGGATAAAATTTTATCTCGGATTGAAAAACTGGCCCTTAAAAATTAAATTTTTGGAGAAACAAATAATTGCTCAATGACGATATTCTTTTTACATTTAAAAATTTTTTTTATTTATTCATTTGTAATTTGATATTGATTGCTAAATTCAAAATTTTCCTTGGCGCTTATGAATGGCGCGAATTCATTTGAGCCCTGGCTGAGTGATTGTTACCAGCAGACAGTTTACTGTTTTCTTACGGTAATTTGTGAACTTTAGTTGAACGTTTCCACTTACGCTTGTTAGGAAATACATTATAGCTCCTCTTTCTTTTTCCTTAGTCGTTAGTGTTTATCATCTGTTTCTCATATGAAAGCTCTTTGATTCTTTTTATTTAGTTGAGTTAACACTATAAATTAATTCTGCGAAAGACAAAAGTATTTATAAAAAAATTCTACGATAAAATTCGTTCAAGGTAATTATCACTTTTTATTACATTTTTTGTTTTTATTTTCTAATGCATGTTCTTTAATCAAAATTAAATAATTAAATAAGTTAATTAATTAAATAAATAAGTTATAATTAAATAAATTTCTTCGTTTTACTACTTTTTTTATAATCCTTATTTTATTTCATATTACATCCATACATTTGGTTCTTTTTAGATGAGCTTATTTTTAGGTGCAACTTTTCAGTCACGAGAAGCCTTAGATGCTGCTGTAAACAACTATCAGTGCACAACAAACCGAAATTTTATTTATACTTCGACAACGTATGTCGACAAAAGAAATTTGCTGCATCCAGTAAATCCTGAACTGCAAATTTACACAGCTACAGTGAAATGTATTCATAATGGGCCCCCGAAAGTCTATAAGAGAAGAGTTAAGAAGTAAGTACACATTCATCTTGTTTCAATCGTTATTGTCCTTAATAATTGTTTAAATTTTGATATTTTTTAATTCTATGACAGCCCGAAGATAGGTACAAATTGTCCAGCTTTTTTTTCATTACGATTGGCCCAGAAGTATTCTGTTCTGGAGATTCATCGTTGGAATGATCAGCACAATTGCGACGTAATATTACATCTATTGCTTTTTACCTTTTTTTTAAATTACAGCTTTTTAATCTAATACTATAAATATAAATTTTTTTATAGTTGAGGGTGCTACCTTTGGATGCATCTCCAGCAAATTTTACTGTGCGACGTTCATCATCCGACTCAAATGGTTCATCATGCCGCTCTCGCTCTTCATCACGCCGCTCTCGCTCTTTATCGCCCCGCTCTTCATCACGCCACTCTTCATCACGTCGTTCTTCATCGTACCCCTCTTCACCATGCCGTTCTTTATCACGCCGCTCGTCATCATTGTCTTCAGTATCATCGATTTATACTTCACCGAAGTTTTCCCCTTTGTCATCTTCAGAAACCGAAAAAAGAGCACTGGATAATACATATAATATATCTTTAGATGAAAATGGCAAATTTTCTACCTCAACGCCGAATTCTACCTCTACCTCTGATCTCATTTAATTTCTTATTAATTATGTTATTATTATGTATATTGTTTGCATAATTTATACTTTAATTATACTTAATAAATAATTTAATTATAATTTAAACAAACTTAAATAATAATAAAAAAAAAATACTAATAATGATTGTTATTTACTAGAGTGAACTTTATCTTCAGCCTGTCGTCTTATCTCAATAATCAGGAGTCTGATAACGGTACAATCTCTGGTTCTGTGCAAATTACTCAAAATAACTTGTTTTTTTTTTATTATTTCAAGATTTTTAAGCCCTTCCTGTCGCAGTCGGCTGTCAGTTTATCATCCTTCAGAGTTTTGCTTTCTTGGAACTCGTATCTTACTTTCTTGAGAGCTTATATATTTACGATAATTATAGGCACTTTATTTCTTGCTCTCATGAATCAAATTTCTGTAAAGCTTTAGAACAGTATCACGACTAGCCATTAATCTATTTAACATTAACATATACATAAAAAAATATAGAATATACACTCTAAAGTTGTAATAATATATCGGTGTAGTGTATAGAAAATTTTTTACTCTAAGTTTTATTGTGAATAACAATATATTTTTACAAATATAGAACTTTGTTCATGGATAAATTTACTCTAATGACTACACGTTAATCTCTTCTATTTATTCTATGTTAAATTTATAAATCAAAACAAATTAATATGACCCGGAAAAAAATTTTAAGACATGGTCATGTTTGAAGGGTTAAATACTCCAAGCCTCAGCAGGCATGTCTGCTCATGTCTGAAGCATTGAATACTTCAGGTTTTATCATGAATGGCCATGCCTGTTTAAGTCTGGTCCCACCTGGAAGGTTGAAACTTCGAGGTCTAATATGTTGGTCCATGTCTAATTAATCATGAACTGACCTGATGAGGTCTGACCATGTCCGGTCATTTTCATCTCTAATCAAGTTTGATCATTTTCTCTCGGGGGGTTTTCTATTTATATTTTAATTTATAATATTACACAACAAAGATAACACAGGCTCTTTCTCAGTTTTTGTTTCTCATAACAAGAAGAGAAATTATCTGTGTGGTCTACAACTTATTTTTATAAGCAAAAAGTTTACGGATGTCTATTTATCAATGATTAATCGACATACTATTGGAATAAAAGATAAATTAACTTTCAGTAATCATGCAGAGGTTAAAAAGCGAATAGATTATATGAAAATTGAAATATATAATTATTTGGTAGTATACATTCAGCATCATCTTTCTTCTGGATGGGAGTCATCGAAGGGATTGACCTGGAAGTCAACAACAAAGAAAATGAGTGATAGTACTGCATATGAAAATAAAGATCTAAGAATCTAAGTTAGAGCATGATTCATTTTGTATGTAAAAGACTATTTTGTTATTCTTTAGCATTAAAAAACTTTTAACCATAGATCCATGTACAAGATATTGCAACTCATTCAAAATTATGTCTAACGTCCTATTGTTTACTGAAAATGTTTGTGTTTTGGTCATAGAAGACAAGAGTACAAAAACACTCACTCTATATAAGTGTCTGAAATACAGTATAACTATATCATTTTACATCAAAATCTGTTAGTCTAGAGATGCACATTAATAATTGCAGCAAAGCTCATAAAATCGTTCTCGGAAGCTGTTTTTAACGATACGTATAAAATAAAAGACCCAGTTATGACACTGGCCTCGTTGTTTGATACTTGCAATTTTATTCTAATTAAAAAAATAAAATTTATAATAATACATTAATAAAATTTATTATATTATAATAATATAATATATTATATTAATTTACAAATTAAAATTTATAATTCAAAAATTTTATTCATTGATTTATCATAATTTACTTTTTTTTAAATTAAATTAAAATTGCAAGTGTCAATAACTAGGTTTTTTACCTTAATAAGAAATTATTAAACTTAGTATTATAGAAAAAAAGTAACTATGCGGTCTAAAATTTTACGGAGCTCAAGAAATTTTAGTACTGTTAAAAGTATAAATACAATATAAATTGAAATTAAAACTATATTAAGAATATAAATAGATACAGAAGTAATATTGTAATCTAATCTAAATGATTATTTTAAAGTACGTAAATAATATGCTCAATTATTAAATTAAAAACAAAAATAATTATTTGTGAAATATATTGATTATTAATTATTTTTATTTTTATTTAATAGCTCGTTATTACATAATATCACTCAATTAAGTAGTTAGTATGTCAATGCAATGTGTAGATACTACAAATACCGGTAATATTTTCAGTACTTTTATATTGACAATGGACAGTATCGAGGTATTAAAAATTAATAACTACTTCGCATTGTTTAATTTTAGAAATAATAATAATTATATTATAGCAGTGACTATTTTTGCAATTGACCTCTGTGAAGCTATTGTATATATGCATCAGACATCGAGAAAAGCATTAGGACGATTCATATAGCTTCTTTAAGTTTTTGCAACGTCAAGACCGACGTCATTAATTTTTATCTTATTAATTTTACATTCAGTACATAACCAAGGTGTTTTAGGCATCGTTTTCAAAAAAACACCATTATAATGATAATATTTCAAGCAATAATCACAGTATATAACTCTTAAACGACTGCTCATCAGAAAAGTTTCATTACAACAGTTACAATGGCCGACATTGCTATTTTTCTTATCTTCTACAGATTGTATGAGTGTTTGAAAACTTTCTTCATCAAAATAACATTCGAGAATATTTAAATAAACCAATTTATTCATGAAGCGATCTTCAAGCTTCTTACTTGTACAAACTTTAGAGATGTCTTCAGATTTAATAATATACTCGTTTCTCAGTACGTTATCAACCATTTTTTGAGGTAATTGCAACCAATTTAATAAGTCAATAGCTTGTAAATAATTACTTTTCAGAACAAAAGGCATTACTTGACGATTAGTTTTTTGAAGTCCTATCGTATTTAATGTGGCTCCTTTCGGACGACCACGAACATTCACTTTCACAGGTTCATCAAGTTCAGAAACTGTACAACTTTTATCAAGCTCTATTATTTGTCCGAATTTAGTATTCTTCTTGACTTTGTTTTCATTAGTAGTAGCTGCAGATTCAACTTTTTTTTCATATACATTTATTTCAATTAATTGTCTCCAATAATTATCTATAGTTCTTAAAGTTTCTAATTTAAAGTTCCAATTTTCTGCTAACCAATAATTTGACGAATTGTAAATTTTGTCGGTCAAAGTTGTGATTATTTTTCTTTTATCAAAGACTGATACAACTTTTTTTCCTAATACTGTCGTTTCTTGAACACTATTTTCATTAATTCTTAAAGCGGTTTTATCTACTTGAACTATTGTGACATCCGATCCTTTTCCAAAAAAAAAATTAATATCATTCAGAACTTTTAATTTATTTTCAAAATATTGACCACAACTTAAGCTCATGGTATGTTTTAAATCATTTATTATGTATTTACATTGTTTTTGCAATTCTATTTTATCGAAATTCTTTTGAGGCAAATTAACTTTTGAAACTTGTGTTTGTTTAACTTTCGTGATGGATTTTTGGTTTAAATTTCGAAAAGATCTTTGGTGTTGTCGATAATAATTTTTCGACCATTTTACAGAACATAAATCTTCAGAAAATAATGATAAACCATAATGCTTTCTTAATGAAAAAATGTGTCGACAAGGTAAAGATAATGTTAACCAATGGAGGCATTCACAACTTTTTAATGTGGTAGTAATCTGAAGTGATTTATAATTCATCTGATAATTTTCTTCTATATTCTCAGGATTAATAACATTTTCCTCAAATTTTTCATTCCAAAAAGTTACGTAATCATGATGTTCAAGTTCAGTCTTCACGTATCCAAAAGCTTTGTCAGTTAAATGATTAGAATACAGATTTTCCCATTCAGTGTAACTGTCTACAGGAAGTTTTTTTTTTATGAAGTCTTTTGAAGCTTTGAAATCATTTTCACGGTTATGAGAAGAAAGCCATCGAAAAAATTTTACAGCGAAACAGCTCATATAATTATTACGACCTACTTCTTCCTTCATTTTTCCATTCATGGACTCTACTCGGTTGTTCGAATTGTTACCAAGGTTATTGACCATTAGATATGTACACCATTCCTCTCTATTGTCATTCCAATTACTATTAAAATATTCTACGACTTGAACGGGTGCTTTTTCTACCAATTTTTCATAATATTCATTATATTCTTCTTCAGAATTACTGTAAACTATTTTACTGAGTAAAGATAAACAAAAATCTTTTTCTTCATTACTTATATTCATTATTTTCGTTGTAATATGTGTAGAAAATATCTTCAACACATGAAATCGACATATCTGTGTGGATGCATTAGGAAATAGCTCTTTTAATGCTTTCCGCTCTGTAAGGTCCTTGTCTGTCATGAATGTATCAATGTTATCACAAGCTTCTTTATTTTCCTTTTTAAATGTACTAAGAAACCACTTCATAGATGTATAGTCTTCGTGTGCTAATATAGCAATCCCGGCCACTTCACTCAGACCATCCGAATCTTCAACAAGTAATGTCATTAACGACAAATTCGTGTTAAAAACTTTATATGTCCCATCTAGACATACAATTTCTGGCCATGCGCGAAAAGATGCTCTCATATCAGCAGTGGAAAAATAAAGGCCTTGATATTGATTATTTTTATGAAGAATGTGGACATCAGCACCTACAAAAAATAAGTGTTGGACATCTACACTGCTGCCAGCGACCATCATGCGATATTCTGGGAAATATCAAGCGACCAGAACCCCAAGAGGCCAGTCAAGCAGTCTAACATCTTTGGTTGGAAGGTAAAATCTTTTGACCCAGAAGCATTACTAATAGCCCTCGATGGTGATCCGATCAACACTGGATGTGCAGAAAAACAAACTAAGGACCTGATGACGAGAGTAACACATGCTTGTGATGCCAGTATGCCTCGTTAACGTGGCATAAATTCGAGACCTTCGGTGCATTGGTGGAACGACCACA